CATCCCCACGGAGGTGAAATCACCTGCAGAGCAGCTGAGTGACATTTCGGCACTTACTCAAATTAGCTGTTATTAATTAAATAACACCTTTCAGTGTTCTCAGCAGCTTTCCCCCTGAAGCTGCAGCGGGAAGCTGGTGTGCGTCAAGATGCCAGGCAGATGTGAGAACCTCGGGGTTAGATTTTCATGGACATGCACCTCATTAAAGGTGTTACCACTATAGAAACGTATGCTTATGTCTCTTTACCATCTCCTCTTTTGTGCCTTCCAGCTCCTCTATCACAGAAACCCACTACCAGGTGCTTTTAAGCATCCCCACAAAGACAGACCTGGTTCAGCAGAGCTTCACTGCCCCTTGTTTTGGCTCTGTTTTGGATCCTGCTGGAGTCTACGAGATTTCAACATCTGCCTACACACTTTGTTGGCTAGAAACGGAGAGCTGAAGCTCAGGTCTGATTTGTCTACGTGCACATTTACAGGTGCTGGGTGGTAGCTGGGACTTGTGGTGACAGGGACCTTGCTCCAAAATGAGCAGTTTAAATGGAACCCTGACGCGCTGGCTCTTGCGGCCAAGGGGGCAAACTGAGCTGCATCACTGGGAATGGAGAGAGGGGGGGTGCTTGGGGATTTCTGAGATGGTTTGATTAAAAATGCCAGACAGAGCCTGAAGAAAACCACGGTACAAACTGCTCAGGGCCTGAAAACATCCAGGCAGAGCCAATGTGTTCCTCAAACATAGCCCTTGGGATAGGAGTCTGCAAACACAGAGGAGTGGGACTAAACTTCTGATTGAAATACTGCTTTTCTGGGTTGTAAATGGTAATAATAATAATAATAATAATAGTATTGAAATTTTTCCCCTACAAAGTTTGTTAGACTCAGAGGAGAAGAGATGTGAAAACGGAAGGGATGTTGGCACAGTGATGCTATACACTTACCACAGCTGCTGCAGTAATGGGCACCAGGCTACAACACAGCAATGCTGACAGCGTCATCTCCTCTTCATCCATCTCTGTTGCCACTAGAATCATCTGTGACACAAGCCAGTGTGACTGACAGGCTACAAGCTCTTCATGCTTCACCCGCAGGTACATGAGGGCCCAGCACAGCAGTGTGTTCAGCATTGCAGCGCCCATAACCAAAATCAATGTGATGACCTGGGCACTTATTTTGCTAATCCCACACTTTGCAGCCATGTGAAAGGCCTGTTGATGGATAGTCCCACACTATCCAGAGCCATCTCTCCTTTCCTTTCAAGTGTTACATCTGGGGGCTTGGTTTGCAATTAAAGATACACGGGGTAGTCTCTGCAGCCATCACCTACTCATTATAACTGCCACAAACCAACATCTAAGGTATATAAAACCTTACATGAAGATAAAGCAAAGAGGCGGCTCTTCCCTTCCTGTAATCTTCTGTATCCATGGGAACAGCAATTTGATATCTACATAGCAATGACAGACAGAAACCCTGCAGTGCATGAAGGACAGGTCAGGCAAGGACCCTCACCATGGCAGGGCATGTGTGATGGCACACACTGGGGTGCTGTGAGCACCCTGCTCCCCAGGCAAGGGGCCACAGCTTTAATGTGTGCAGGACAGCCATGGTGCAGCCTATTTGCAGAGAAAATTTAAAGACATAACATGGTTCTTAGGGAGAAAGAGCTGACAAGACAACCTGGCCCATGCAGCAAGGGGTGCTGCAGCAGGGCGAAGGGGACCCCTAAAAAAAACCCTAAAATTGGGCAAGAAAAGTGAGGAGGGAAAATGCTGTTTTTTCTAGTTAGGTTTGAATATCGGCCTTTTGTGGTGGGGAAAAAGAACTGGAAGTAAAGAAATAAATCTCATAAGGAAGGAACAAGAAGAGAATAAATATCTCTCAGCTACTTCTCATTAGCGGAAGAGTGTTTACTTGGGTGAATATTTTGCCTTCTCACACAGCATCCCCACCATGGGCATGCCAGTTCTGCTCAGCTAACAAGCTACCAGCAGGTGGGAATAAGGCTGTTTAATTTCTTCGCACACCTTGAATAGCCCATGGGGCTCACTCACATTGGGGAAAATGAATATACAGCCCTGACAAAGAGTATTACTAATGCAGCACAAGGACTTGCAAGCAGAGCACTGTGTGCTGGAAATCCCCAAACTGCACACACTGCTCCTGAGTCAGTTCTTTATACTGTGATACGTGGCTAAAACCCATCCTTACAAAAACTTTGAGTCTTGCCTGCTCAAAGCTGATGAAAGGGCACAGATCCTCAGTCCTGTGTCCATGAGAAGCAACAGTAAGGTTCATACGGTTCATTCCCAGCTGCAGGGATGTGCTCTCCCCCTGCCCTCCTGTGCTCCATGTCATCCTCCTGGGCAAGAGCAGAACCAGGTTGCCCCAGAACATCTGCTCAAACCTCAACTCACCACAGCAGCAGCTTCACCAGCAGCCAAAACAGCTCATCAATGCTCTTGTTCTGCATCCCTGCAGGGAATAAGATTTATATGTATATATATGTATGTATATATATATATGATTTATATATATGAAGTGATACTTTTTCCCCAGTGCAAGAAAGGACTCTGGAGCCACAAGCTGCTCCAGAAGCAACTGAGAGAGAACATGACCCCGTACAGCCTTATTATTTCTAGCTACTCAATTACTGCCCAAGATTGGTCTCTAATGAATCTAATGCATCCATACCTCATGATTCAATTAAGGGTTTCAGGACAATCCTAACTAATGAGCAAATGGAGCCTATTCCCACCAGGGTCCCATCACAGCTGGGGCCATGGGAATGACAAGGTGTAAGGTGCAATAAGGAAAGCACATCCTGGGGATGGGAGGGAGATGCTGGAAGAGAGGAGCTTTCATATCCTGGGACTTACAGACCACAGGATGCTCCCTTGGCCTTACAGAAAGAGAATTTGATTCTAAAAGCCCCAACCACACAGTGGGGGGGAGCCTGGCTCCCGAGTGATTCCCAAGAAGGTCTCAGAACGCCATCTTCCCAACCAGTGTGGGCTGGTGGCTCACTCACCTCCCGTGTGCAGCCTCTTCCGCTACCATCCATCTCTCCTGGTGCTGTGAAATCCATATGGCACCCGGGCTGCAGGATGGATGCTTGCGCTGGGTGGGAGGCTGATGGCAGGGACAGAAAAAGCTTCATCCTGCTGCAGTCCTGAGCAGTGAACTGTGCATGGCTCCGGCAGCGCCAGGTTTTTATTTAACCCTTAATCCCAGTGATTTGCTCTAACAGTATGGTTCAAGCAGGCACAGCCACATGCACAAAGAGCCTGGCACCAATCAGTCGTTCATGCAAAACAAGAGGATTTTGCTTTTAAGCACAAGCAACTTTCTGGGTAGTGTCTGATGAGCAATTACCTTCCTACGGGTCCGTGAGCAGCTTGACTCGGCCCGTTGGGGGAATGTAAAGACCCTCATTTAATTGCTACTTTATCCCCAAACTCTACTTTTTATTTATTGCAATCCAAGCAACAGGCTCAGAAAGAACTTAGCAGGAGGCCAGCACTGAAAGGGTTGTGAGACAGGCCAAAGGAGGCAACAGGGACGTTATTCAAGGGGAGAAGGATGTGGCACAACCTGTGTGAAACCACAGCAGACGACTACGAGAGGTGTTTAAATAATGAGGAGGTGTCCTAAGGGGGTACTACATTATTTACCGAGCATTTATTGCTGTGGAGAGCATCAGCCTCTGAGTGATGCTCAGGGAGGAAGGACCTCACAGCATGGCTGGGCTCTGCAGCTCACCCCACTACCTCACTTACACCACATTCATGTGTCCACCCCTCAGAGGCTCGGGAGAAGTTTCTCCACAGTCAATGCAATTAGAGGCCCATAACCATCCATGCTGAGAGCTGCTGCCATGCCAGGCACTGTTAGAGGGACAGCAACATCACTGTTGCCTGTGCTTGATAAAGAACCACATTTCCCTGCCCCAATCCAGCATTTACTGAATGAACAGCAAATGCTTATTTTGACAGATTACTCTTGCCAGTCCTGTACTTATGAAGAATGCAAAGGCAATCGGTCCTGAGCCACCAGAAACCGCTAACATCAAGCCCAACAAACTATATTGGGCTCTGGGAAATGCAAGATCATCACCAATGAACTTCAGGGCTTTCTTGAAGCCCAATTCATACCAAACTTAGAGATCCCAGTGGAAAACTCATGATTAATCTGGCTGGGGCAAAAAGACGAGGATGAACAAGCTTTGCTGCTGGATGATGTGCCTGGGCTGTACTTCACTGTTTGAACCTTCCCAGCAGTGAACCTGTCTCATTCGTAAGCACTTACAAGCTGGGTTTTAAGATGAGAACACAGATGCTTGAATGTAATAGGAAAACTAAGGGTAAATAGAACTGGGTCTACAAGAAGATGCCCTGTTTTTTAAACTTAGCAAATTAGGAGTCAGTGACACTACATATGCATTACTTGTTTATCTGAAGCAACTGGAGAGGAAATAATCCTGTTAAAGAGTTGGCTGGATATATGCCTGCAGTGAGGTCCCATGGGGTGGGTGTCAGAGTCGATGCAAACAGTGGTGCTCTGCCAGGGCTTGGACCCTCCTTTGGAGTAGCTTATAAATGTTAAATATGAAACATTAAATATTAACAAAGAGGTGCAGTGCTCATCACACAGTATGCTACAAATGAGGTTAAAAGTGTGTATATTCTATTTGTTTTAATTACAGTAAGACGAAACAAGCTCAAATATACCAAGAATCCCCAAAGGAGGGTTTTCTTTTTCAGAAATGCTTAAAATAACAAGAATAGAAATAAAGTTGGGACAAAACTCTTTTTCCTGCAGGTGACAAGCTCATGGCTTGCACAGGAGCACACAAGGGAGCCCAGCCTTTTCCCTGCCCTTCATCTTCAGTCAGTGATGCTCTCACTCTGCCAGCTGTCTAAGACCAAAACGCCAAGGCATCATACGAAATTTACAACTTAAAACCCCAAAATAAGGTTTATACACAGACAGAAAAAAACAATTTTGTTGCCAAAATGAAATATAAGCCAACTACTTTGCACTACTAGTGCCATTAATTTCAGCTACATCACTTGACACTGGTTTGGGATCTCTTTCATTGAAATAACTTGCACTTCTGGCTGTAATTTCTCCTAAATCCTCTGCTAATATTTCCTGTGGGAAGGTTTTAGGTAGTTCTTCACTTGATGCTGCACTGAAATTCTCCCAGTTGCTCTTCAGGCCTCCAGACTATGGGATAGTGGAAGAAATGTGGGTGCCTGAGCCACCCCCGTAGCCTGAACACCCCAGGGCTGTAGTGCCTCCAGTCTAACATGGGATATTTAAGCAATAGGTTGCAAGTGGCCATAGAGAAACAACAGCCTGCTTGTGTCTAAGCCTGCTGAAGTACAGTTGAGAAGGATGGCTATTTCCCATTACAGCCTGGTTAAAAGCGGTGTCTGCCAATGAGAGATACAATCAGTGAAGACTGAATCAATACAAAATCTGTACTTTTCTAATGATGGCTGTTTCTTGGAGATTTACACCGATCTTTGATGCCTGCTAGCACTTAGGCCACTGAATCTAGAACAAATGACACGGTGAAATGCACAAACTTCTGCAGCCTACCTAAACCAAGAAATACACTTTTTTCCCCTCCTTTCATTCTACTCTATTTCCTTTTTCTGCTTGAGTCCAGCCCTGGGTTTATCCCGCAGGCAGAACTGCTGTTTGCTCAGCAGGATGAGCTGAAGGAAAAGGACTTTGGAAAGGTTTTAGTTACGCAGGGAAGAATTAAAATGAAAAGAAGAAAAGCCACAAAACCAAAGGAAAATATCCCAATTCTCTGTGTTTCACGGTTGGTTATATAACCAATCTCCCTGGTTGTATTTACACTCCTATAAATAGAGGGTTGCTCTGAAAGAGTAGCCTAAAAACCAATGACAAACGGAGTCAGCGACCATGGGCGCTCGGGTGGGAGCGGGCGCAGGGCTGGAGGGGCTCAGCACGGGGACGAGGACATCTGGTCATAGTCGGGGCACTTGAGCAGAGCAGGGTAGCTACTGTTCATCTGCAGGGAGGCCTCGCTGGAGATCTCCGAAGGGCTCCGTCCCCGTGCCCATGCGTCCGGGTGCAAGAACTGCCCCGAGTAGTCGGAGCAGTTGCTCAGACGGGGACGGTAGAAGCTGGGGTGAGGTCTGTAGATGTCCTCGGCCATGTATCGCTTCATGAAGAGGTAAACGGACATCACCCCGGCGCTCTGCAGGGATAGACAAACACGGCCTGATGCTCACAGCTGCCGCCCTCACCACCACCAAACCAGGACAAGAATACAGCTTTGCACTGCTGACAGTGCACAAGGGCTCCTAAAATCAGTCACTTCACTGCCCTGTGCCTCAGATCCACATAACCACGTCTCCTCCTCCTCTGCATTTCATACTTGCCATCAAATGGTGATCAAATGCCCCATCAGTGCTCCAGGCTTGGAGTCTGACCCTGCTGTTTGTCTCCTACCTATATATCTATATAGTATTTTATATATATAATAATAGATATAATAATAATAATATTATACGTATATATAATACTACTATATATTACCCTTCTGCCTGCACATCCTACTCTTAAATCCTGTCCTCTTTTTGCTAACAGCCTCAATGCCCCCCTGTCCTAAGAACAGGATATACTTGTTACAGGGATGTGAGGGCTGCTACATACCTCTGTGAGAAGGAATGAGATGGCAGAGAAGGCAAACGACCACCCATATTTGTAATTGAAGAACGTGTCCGAGTCCTTGGTCCTGTTCAGCATCTCGTCATTAATGCTGGATATGTAGAGGACCAGTCCCACCACCAAGGACAGACCTGGGGAGAAACCAAGGAGAAGGACAGTGGGAAATGCTTCAGGGATGAAGCCGCTGAAGAAGCACCTTCCTTTAAGACCTGACTTGTGCGTGAAAGTGTGAAACTCCTGGAGAAGTTTCAGACCTCTCCTGATGTGAGGCTGTTGTGCCATGAGAGGCCTCCTCTGCCCCAGCACCTCCTTCTGCACGGGTGCTGGGTGCTTTCTCCTGCATCTCCTCACCACTGCCAAAAATGAGTTTTCAACCGAGTGATTGCCCACCCTGCAAAGCAAAGCCCAACCAGGCTGCGGGGCTGAGCCAGAAGCCCCTGTGGGTGATGACTGCAATGAGGAGCCAGTATGTTAGGAGAGGACCAGCACGTGTGACAGCAAACGTGCTCCATGCTCAAGGGTTTTCAGGGTTAAACCTGGACAGAAAAACTCACCCGAGAGGATGAAGAATATCCCCGAGACGAAGGCGAGGATGGTCCTGTGAGGCCGAATGTGACCAATGTTGCTCAGGATGAAGCCGATGAACATGAAGAAGAGGCTGACCAGAGGGAAGGGGGTGGCAGAGCGGATCATCTCTGGTGGGAGAGGAGCAGAGTAAAGGGACAATGGCTTGGCTGTGAGGTGGCTCCAGCCCTCCTGCTCTCTGACCACCCTGCATCCTTCCTTGCTCCCGGTTAATGTGAACGCCTCTGTGCTGCTCCCTGGCCCTTGGCAGGGCTTCCCCTCTTTGCTGATGAGCTGAGTAAAGAGGTGACTCTGGCTGCTGTGGGAATGGCTGCTAATGTTGGCATTTCTGAGGGTCTGTGTGAAGTGTTACATAGGAGAAAGCCATCAGAACCTGCATTCTTCTCTAGCTTTGCTGTAAAACTCTTTGCTGAACGCTTATCTACTAAATAAGAAAAGACCACAGAATCCATTGTGAGAGCCCTGACACGCCATCCTTAATTCACCCAACTGTGTAATGTGTGAAATTGACTGCTACAGAATAAGTACAGCTGCAAATTACAGAGGAGACTTACAAAGCCAAACCCTTCCATAAACATCAGTGCTGAATAGCCAGTGACAGGAAATTGTACAGCTTAGAGCCTCTGTGAGCATCCTCCCATTAGAAAGTGATGTTCCCAAAAGCTTAGGAGCATATTGGGTGATTCATGCAGTAAAAAAAGGAGTTGCATCCTTGCATGGTAGCACTGCCAAGGAAGTTGGAGCTTCTTCAGCAAGGACACAGAGGATTTCTTGAGGGGATCCCTAGTGAGCCTTTGCGGGATGCAACAGGTAAGACCCCACTGAACCACTTACTCAGGACATTGACTGTGGACTCAGACGTCAGCTGGATGTTCATGGGCATGATGTATTCAATAGTGAAACACCGGCCATGCTCTTCACCTGCAGCAACGCAGACCATAACTACAGACATCTCTTAACTACCATCTCACTTGTGCCAAAGGACTCCCCTTGTATGCAAAAACATGTCAAGGCAGAGGGTTTAAGGTCACCCCAGGGGTGTTATCAGAGCTTTTCTCTCCCCCAGCTTTTCCAAAGCAGCCATTGAAACTTCATGACATTAGGTTGGTCACTTTGAGATTCCCATCCCCTTGGATTTTATTCAGCTCCTGCAGCCAAGTCCCTTCATCCAACTTGGCATGGATGGAGGGAACGGTCCTGCTGACCTGAATCTAAGTTTTACAGGGAAAAAGAGGAAAGTTTTGAGCTGCTGCCTGAGGCACTGTGGCATGGAGAGGGATGGCAGTGGGGTCTGGCACGGCAGCAGCAAACTCACCCAGAGCCTGTTTGCAAAGGCACATTTATCCATCTGACTATTAAAGCTGGGCACAGGGCAATGGTGCTACTTGCCACAGGTTATGCCTGAGCTTGGAAACAGAGATGGGCAAAGCCTCCAAAAATCCTGTTTTTCCCATCCCTTTCCCACAGTATGACCCTGACACACACCAGACATCACCTTACTGAGGGATGCTTTTGGGAGGAGCCCATACCTGCCAGGAAGCAGACCCTCCAGAGCCCCGAGTGCAGCGACAGTTTGATTTCGGCCGTCTGGTTTTGGGGCTGGACGATGCCCTCCTCCAGGTAGAGCCAGTAGTCGGTGCTGACGGAGATGCCCAGGAGGCCGAGGCCGCAGACAGCAAACACGCTGCTGAGCAGGGTCAGCGCCTTCCTGCTGCAGGCACTCATCCCCAACAGCATAGGGGGCCGAGGCGGCGGCTGCCGGGAGCGGGGATGCAGCCGTCGGCACGGAGCCGTCTGCAGCTCCTTGTGGGGATGGATGTGTCAAAGCTTTGCCCTCTGCCCTCTGTTCTTATATAGGTCGAGCTGAAAGAAGCCATTAAAACAATCACAGTGAGCCCTGACAGATGGAGAGATTGAACTAAATCCCACCCGACTGCTGCCCTGTGCTGGCCCAGGGCTTGTGAATGTGCTGAATGCTGGGTGCCAGCACTGGGAGGGAGCAGTGTCAGAATAGCTGTCCAGGAGCAGCTCATCGGCTCCCATTTTGTTTGCTGCGGGTGAATTCCTGCTGCTCCGGCCAAACCTGTTGCTTGTTTCCGCGAGGATGTAGCCAAACCACAGCATCTGCCATCCTCAGAGCCTTATCCATGAAGGGAGGCAGCATGAGCTGTATCCCCGAGGCACAGGAGCCTGTTGGGACTCATGGACCCATTAATGGGTCAACAAAGATGCTTTGAGCTACTGGACCAAAACCACCTCCAGTGCAGCTCCAGCCACCACCACCAGGGCCATTCTACCTCTTCCAGTGCAGATTTACCCAGTGGGGGATCAAGATCCCTATTTTGCAAAATCCGTAGTACATCTATGCACGCCGAATGACACCATCAAACACCTCAGAGCAGAGCAGCATGATGCAATCTTGCCTTCTTTTGCTTTTTACTGTGCGTGCGGATCAGTGCTGGTGTTGGCTGAATGCACAGACTGAATTGGTCCAAACTCAGCTTTTGCTTCAGGGGGGAGGCAGGGAAACAGGGCCAGAGAGCTGCAGTCAGGCCCTGGGCAAACATTAAAGGAGGAGGCAAAAACTTCCCTCATCCCCATGACGCTTATGGATGGAATCTTATTTTATTTCCTTCTATTTTTGCTAATGTGAGGAGTTTCGCAGCTCTCACAGTGCCCTGCAGGCTGACAAAACATCACCAGAACCCAGAGTTCTTGGTGCAGCAGAGAATGGGGGGGGGAAGCCACAGAAATGAAAGATTAGAGGAACAAGAGCAAGAAGGGAAATATACATGCGAGTGTCGGTCTTCTGGGGAGTGGGAATGAGGCAGATAGCACTATTGACTGCTGCTATAAAAGCAGTATGAATCACAGACCAGTGCAGTGTAATGTATGTTTTCCAAGGCACATTTTGCTGTTGCTCAGCAGTGCAAACAATATGGGACAAAATTAAAAAGGATCCAGCTAGATGACAAAATCTACCCAATTTAACACAGCAGCAGCGGGATGCATCTTCCTTGGGCTCCCTTTGAAACTGCACGAGCTTTGTTTGTGCTGCTTGAAGCACAACAGATGGGAGGGAGACGAGCAGCACAGCTGCATCCCACTGCCTGGGAAGAAGGGCAGCATCCTCCTAAACACATATGTCATTTAAAACATCTATTCCCAAAATAGTGATGGATAAGCAATAGAGCCGGGACAGGTATGTCATGTATGTCCCTAGGTGTCAGCTTTTGAACCCACACAGGAATAACTCCACCATGCCTGTATTCACAGTCAGTGCTGGCTGTAGCAGCACGTGTTGATGAACAGGCTCTTTGGAAGAGAACCTCGTTGCTGTTATCACAGCAAAGGTGGTTGGGTTTAGTGATTAAATCAGAGGTGGCTGCTTCCAGGGCTGGGAGATCACAACTTGCTGTTCTGACACGTCAGGGCAGGCGAGCAGACCAGAGGAGGGCTTTTTTCTTGCACCTCTGATATAAACTTATTAATCCTTACTTGCTTCCCGTGACTTTCAGAGATGCCAGAAGTCCCCACAGCTTGCACTTGTACACTCAGAAGCCTCCAAAGACAGTGTTCTGCCATAGTTCACTTATGATTAATAACAGCAGACAAGGCTGATAGTTATTTCTTGCTGCTGAATGGCTGCTCTCTTGGGAGCTCCGTGCTCTTGCAGTGCCTGTCCCCAGCACATCTATAGCACAGTGAACAGCACCAAGCTCCTGACAGCCCGGTCCTGGGCTGATCCTGCCGCAAGTGTCATAGCAAGACTGATATGAAGGAAACTTGGAGCTACCATGGACTCCAAATAAGTGCATTTACTGAACAGATGCAGCACCCAAAGCCCATCTGCACCTCCAGCTTGCTGCTCCAGGCAGCAATAAGAGAGAAAAGCAGCTAATGCTGCTGGAAGAGTTGCAGACTCTTGTGTAAAGAGAAAAAGGGGGAGAGAGACTTTTAGTATCACATCCTATCCCGAGTCCAAAGCAGGCAAGTACATCTTGGTTGGAAGCAGATGTACTTGCACCCTCAAGCACTGCAGCAGCTCTGACAGTTCTCTTCCACATGAAACCGAGGATTTGGCTTTTACTACGTTCACATTGGGCCATTTCCCAGAAGGTACCGACCTACAGGAAGGGGAGCACTGTCGCTTACAGGCAGCCCAAGCAAACGCTCCCAGCTCAGCACTGCAAGCTTTCCACCTTTGGCTTTTCTAACAAGCGTCATTTTTTATGTTCTCATTTAATGCTTCCCTCAGCTCAAGAAAAGCAGGATGTGCTCCCAGGAGGAACATCTCCCTGCTAGGGATGTGAGGAGTGAGATGTATAGAGGAGATGTTCAGGTTTGTTTTCCCTTAGGAATTAGGAGGCAGCAGCTAAAGAAGGAACTGGAAGCTATGGGGGAGAGAAGCACATCCTGCAAAGGTAGCCTGGCATCTTGGTTGCCTGAGGACGACCTTGTCAAGGGGAGAGACTAGCACAGAGCTATAGACATTAGCACACTGCTCTGCTCCTTCACTAGATGGGAATACGCCATTTCCATCTCTTTATAGATCCCATTTGATCCAGCAATATAAGCAGGCAAAGTACAGATCATCCGGCTCACCCCTTCTTCTCCCTAACTCAGTTCGAGCTGTATTTTCTAGTTGCTGCCTCAAAATGAGCAGTGGTTACTACAGGGAGTCTCATCCTTCTTGGCATTTTGGTGCCAAATGGTAAAAGGAGCTGGAGTCTATTCTTGGCTCATGTATCATCAACAACCATCCTCCTTGCACATTTCTACTTAATGAGGAGCCAAAAAAATCTAAGTAGGGAGTATATGGAGGTCTAGATAAGGCCTTTTGGAAGGAAATAGCTAAGTATTGCCTATGATTTGCTACCCATCAACACCAGACACTGGAAAATATACACATTTAGCATCATTTATATTGGCCATTGGGGTGATGCCAGCAGCAGGGAGAGGGGTTGGGAGTCAGAGTCACACCTCTCAATTGTCTCATTTCTTTTCTCTCTCACACTTCAATTTCCATGTCATCACGAATGCATTAGAGACTGATCCCTATTACTGCCTTATTGGCACATAAAACTGAGCTGATCTGTGGGGAACAGGAGGCAGGGATGGTGCAGAGCAGCTGCTTGGATCAAACCTTCCCCATGTCCAGTGCTTGGAGAATTAGCAGGGCTCCCAAGAGAAATAGTTTTCAAGGACACCAGCAGGAGCTGGCTTGATTTTCAGCAAGGATTTAGTCCCCAGTAACCTTTACCAGCTGTGTTCTGCTTCCTACAGCTGAAAAGGTGATGCTGGTCGGCTTCCAACAGTAGCTGTATTTTAAATTAAGTGAATATAACCCCAAAGATTTCCAAGAAATAGGACCTTATAACAGCTCCTGCTCCTTCAATCACACTGTGCCTTCTGGTAGTAGTCCAGGGAGCAATACAGGCAGTCTGCAATGTAATCTGCGGACCTTGTAATGAATTTCTTCTTGTCCTGGAGCCACAGCTTCTGATGGAAACTGCACACAGCCCATGCAGGACTGACCCCTTCAGAAAATGAAACGAAATTGGTGGTGTTCCTAAGGCAGTTCCACCCAGATGAGGGAGCTGAAGTCCTTACCTATTGCTCCACAGCCACAGAAAGGAAATATTATCCTGGTCCAGACTTCTGAGCCCACTGCTCTATGACAGAACACCAAGCACAAGCCACCACTCTGGGCTATGTGGATGAGCTGAGAAAAATAGGTATATCACTGGTCTGGACAGGGTGGGTTGTATCAATAAATCACTACTCCACATTCAGCAGAAAACAACAGTCCCTCCTGCCCCGGGTAAAGGTAGGAAGAGCAGGACCAAGGCAGGCCAAAGAGGCAGTGATTGATTTTTATGTGGCTACAGCATCATTTCCAATTTCCTGACATTTGTGAAGAGGGGAAGCACTACCAGGGTTACTGGAGCAGATGGGAGGGAAGGTTTTGTTTGTGGAGGGGTGCTGGTCTCCAGGACAAGCCCGGCAACCTGCGCTTGTGAAAGCCTGATCCCTGCCAAGGGCAGAGAGAAATCAGAGGTTAAGCCATGGCCCTGGAGCAGTGTGAGAAACCGAGCAGAAGATAAAGGAGAGGGAACGAAGCCTGGTGACAGAGGGGGTAGGAAACCCACCGAGTGAGCAATTGATATACCAAGAGCATCAGGGACAGGGGTAAGAGCCCGGCAAATGCAGGAGGGCAAGAGCTGTGATGGAGCTGAGCTGAAAGGACCGGTCCCACTAAGCTGGAACAAGAAAACTGGGCTGGCTAAAAATAAAGGGCCTTCAAGCAGCACGATCTCGTCCTCAGGACACAGCGCAGGCCACAGCCGTGGGCATAAGTAAATAGGTCAAGGAGAGTGGCTATTGCAGAACTAAACTTCCCCGAGCTGGTAGGGCTCAGGCAGGCAGCACCATGCTGGAGGCTGGCTGAGGCCACTGCCACATTGTCACCCCCCTTCAGCAGCACAACATCACCCTGGCTCCCTCATGGGCAAATCCAGAAAAGCCTAATTTGGCCATTAATACCTCCAGTGGAATAGAAAGGTGGTTGTGAAAGGGCACGGTGGTTCCCACTGAGCTTATGGAGCACCCAAAGGGTGCAAATACTTTGATCCTAAACCTGCATCCTGCTGACTTGACCTGATGCTCTCAGTTTACAGAGAGGGTTTTATCAATGTGAGGAGCACTTAGTGAGGTGACTTTGGCCACAGCCAAGTGTATGCAGCTCAGCAGAGAGGAGGAAGAGGAAGAGACGGTGTGTGCAGTGCCTGCGGCTCCATCTGGAAACCCAGGAGAAGCAGCTCCATAAACCTGAATACTTGGTGATTGGGAAAGGGTTCTGGCATTACTGCATGGGAAGCAACAGTCCCTCTTGAAGCTTGGAAAAGGTGTACTGCATGTAGGAGAGAAGCACAAGACTGCTCTGCTTCCATACACCAGCTGAAGCAGAGCAGGGATGGCTGCAGAGAAAAGCAGTATCTCCTGTGCTGGTCCACTTAAGGGGAAATGGTTGAAGGGGGTGTGGGATGCTGGTCCATAGGGTTCCCAGGAGCACTGTCCTGGGCTGCTGGCACACGCCATCTCACGTGACACATAGGAAGACAGAAATATATAAGGCAGCTTTATAGAGCTGCATTAGTGTCATAAAGAAACATCAGCTCGATTTCTGAGAGAGAAATCATGTATTGGTAAAATCAGGTACAGAAATAAGTCTTTTTGATGTGGAGGAGGTTTAGCCTGATATTAAGAAACAAAACAGTCCATCTCATGGGTGTCTGAATGGCACTAGCAACTGTGACTATGAGCCGTAAACTTCAAAAGGATCAATACTGGACTTGAAAGCTTTCCCTTGCACTGCCCTTACAGCTGGGTAGAAAGAGCAGCATTGACTCTATTGAACACACAGGGCTCACAGACCCTCCAGAGAGGGTTTAAAACAAACCCCAGAAGGCTGGTTATGAGTTATTTACACTCGGATCGAGCCACAGCAGTGATAAACCTATTGAGGTTTTGCTTGTCATCAGACATAAGGAACACCTGAAAGACAATAGGAAGAAACTCTGTGCGACAGCTACCTGCTGAAATGCTCACCACTCATTTCATGAGTGGGATTACTTGGCAGTTTTCTCTTATAACTGACTTCCATATTTTTGCTGAGAAATTCCCCTATTCCCTAGCACTTCCCGTACTTCATTTCTTGTCCAAGTTATCTTTTTATGCTTGATCAAAAGCCCTTTCATGGCAGTGCAAGAGTGAAGGAAATGTTGTATAGAAAGCACCACATTTTACTGCTGACCCCACTGCCTGCTTAGCGAGCCCTCGAGGCTGACCCTTAGCTGCTCTTCCCTCTCCTTTAACCACACACCAGCCTTTTTGCTGTGGACTGCTCAAAACCTGCCCCTTTTTGCCTAGGTCTGGGTTGCAAAGGAGGTTGTTACTGGTTAACTGAGCGCACCTTCGGCTCAGTTCAATGTCAGATGATATTCCCAAGGTCAAAGGAGCAGCAATTGAGGTTTATTTCCCCACCCCAGCCCTGGAACCAGACATTTCCCCAAATAGTCCATCTCTGCTGTGCCTGTGCCGAGGCGATGGCTCTGCTCCAGCTCGCTCACACTAATGGCTTTGAATGATGCCAGTAACATTCAGCAAATCAACTGAGCAGCCCCTTGGTCCCGGCTCACACGCTGCTGGCACAGCCCGTGTGCGTACAGCCAGTGCTCATTCACATGGGCTTTCTGCATCCACAAATATCCCTTCCCAAACCTTTTATGCAGCACATCCCACGCGCGCGTCTCCTTTCTCCTTGGTGCTGAAGGCTCTTACCTTGCTTAACCCCAGCTGAAGCAACGCTTTGGCAAGCAGAAAACCTGCAACGTTGGTTGTGAAGATGGGAAACTCAGGTTCCGAAGGGTCCTTGATGGATGCTTCGGCTGCAGGATGGCTCTGGGAGCGAAGTGGCTTTAGCAGTGGGCAGGGAAGAGCTCCTGGACCATAGCAGAGGGCACAGCCTTGGCTCTCCTTCTCCAGCTGACTCACAGGAGGGCTGCACGCTGTGGGGACACAGGGACAGGGGTGCAGCAGCCAGGTCTCTGCATCCACGTGCCAGCAGCTCCTACCCTGTGGGTTTGTAGGAAAGCATTACACGAAGTGTATTACTCAAGAGGGAAATGGAAGCTAAAGCTCTGAGCTTGCAGCTTGCCCACGCACCCAGGTCCAGTTCCCTAGGTCTGAACTATATATATGTACGTTCAAGGTTTACACCAGTAACAATAGCTGAACCCTTTCCTCTGCAGAGCCCTTCCCAACGCCCTCTCACCTTCTGCATATCAAAGCTAACGTACAATATTCCCCTCCTTGCAGTGTGTCAGAGTGCTCGCAGTCAGGGACATGACTCAAACTGCTGATTTCAATACCCTACAAAGAGCTGTAAAAGCAGAATAGAAGGGGGATATCTGGAGCTGCAAAGCAAACCAGCTGGGGACTTGGCTATAAAAGCTGCAGAAATCTCACTGCTGTGTGCTGCGGAGAGCAGTACTTGCCCATTAATCTCTGCGTGCTGTACATTACAAGCTGTATTTTATACCCTAAATATATAAACTCCAGTAACCCAACGATCCAGTGACCCTCTTCTGGCTCCGGTGCAGTGCTTCCCTCTGCTCAGCTTGGCTGGCACAGAGGAAGCCTGAGCAAACCCAGCATCAGGGAGGAGTGAAGGCAAAGTAACCCTCAGCTGCAGGCATGCTTCCCACCAGGACCAAGACTGGGCTGGTCTAGTGGAGTATTAAATCTTTAACAGTTGGCTCTTCACTTCATCATTTAAGATGCCACGAAGTCCTGCAATGACCTTGTATGTTATAAAGAGGAGAATTAGCTTCTTCCTTGCACAACAATAACTTTTCTGTATGTCCTTCCAGCAGCAAGGCAGGTCACAGCACGACTGAAGGTCTCGGGCACCTTTTCCTTAAGACATTGATGCTGTTTGAAAACGAAGTGGGTATGAACACAACCCACAAATGCAGTGCAAGCCCGGCAGGAGCTGTGTGCTTTGAATGCCAGCGCATGAGATTTCTCTGGGCTATAAACTCCTACTGATACAGAAGGTCCAATAAAAGCCCCATTCCCAGGCCAGGTTCCGAGAGATGAGGCTGCACCACAGAGCGTGGCCAACACCCCCGTTTCCTTATTTCCCCTTACCCATCAGTGTATGGCAGCCTGAGCTAAATTAAGCATGCTGGGAGCCAAAAAATAGCATCAAGAGCTAATTAAAACTCTTCCACCTCCCCCGTGTCAGCAGTGGGGAGAAGCGAGCCGCAGGTACCCGTGCCATGGAGGCAGGGCAGCCCACCACGGCTCATCCCTGCCTGCTGCAGCTCTTCTCACAGGCGCTGGCAGCTGGAGTGCTTTTATGAGCACTTTCAGTGTGATAAATGAGGGAAAGCCGCCGGCATCTCTGAGCAATGAGGGCTGCAAAGCAGCACGGTGGGGAGGTTGCAGGTGGCTGCCGAGACCCCTGTCCCTTTGGTGTGATTAAACATGATTGCTAGCATGAAGCAGATCCCTTGTTAGACGGGAGACGTGCTTAGAAACCAGCCTCTGAGTACCAAAACAATGGCATAAATAAAGTGGAGAAGGGCTGTACCGCCCACACGTCAGGCAAACACCTTAATAACCCCAGTGCCATTCGTGGCTGTCATTAAGCCCTGTTACCAAACACAATGGCAGCTCCATCCAGCTTTGCTTGAGCAGTTTGGGACACAGCTCCTCAGATAGCAGAGGTCATCATACAAAAGGTCTGATACCCCAGGTCTGATGCTGAGCAGCCACAGAAGTTTTGTCCCATCTTCACATAGGAAAGGTCTTTGCTTTGTGTAACTTGCTGGGTTCAGTAGTCAGGAATATTGAAGTACGTAATAAGCATTTTCACACCATTGGAGATATCAGAGGAGTGCAGCTCAGCTCAGCAGCACAGCCACCTCATGGGGAAGGCTGCAGGAACAGACAGGGAATAGACTGGGTCTCACCTGGTTTCTATGCTTCCCCAAGGCCAGCACCTATTACCAGGTGAAACTTGGCCTGCCTGGTGTACCTGGTCTTCACCAACACCCCACTCCTATCCACACAGCTCCTTGGTATCGCCATGTGCTTGCGTCTGCAGCATCTCCCCAGCAGTACCTCTCCTGCCACCTTTATAATGACCTGATATTTCCTTGTCCATGTGGTCTAGAAGATATTTTACAGTAAGAACTGTAAACCAGCTGACACACATGATGCTGATGTTGCTTTCCTCTTCATACATCTTTACCTGTACATTGTACAGAAAAGGGCACCTTTTGTCCCGGTTTGCCTGTAGTCACCTTTTCCATGCTTCAGGAGAGTTGTGCTGCTTCCCAAGCAGCAACTCAAGCATCAGCAGGATTTAACACAACTTCCCAAATCACCCAGTTTCCTAGCTTGGGTTTGCTGTGTTGCCTCTGGCCATCTGCATCTTCCAGGGTCTCCCAGCAGCACCCAGGAGAGGACCATTTTGTGTTGGATACAAGTCAGTGCAGCTCTGAGCATCCTCCCAGGAGACAGGAGGGAAGCTGGGGATGGTGACAAAAGAAAGCAGAGCCCCAGCTTGGATCAGGTATTTTGGGAATGTCACAGGCAAAGCTTTCTGCTCCTGTAGAAAGCGATGACATCCACCCTCACTCAGGTAAGAGGCATGGTGGCAGGAGATGAAGGCAGAGCAGTTGTCAGTCCCACACAGCTTCATCCAGACCCTGCCACAGCCCTGGAAAGGGCTCTTGGATAACAGGCTTCCAGGTATGAGACAAGCAGGATGTTCATGGGATTTCCCCATCTGCCTTGTGCCAGCACCTGCTGCAGGATCCCCATCAGCACCTCTCATCTGCTCCAGTGTCTGACTCGAGCACCACCTCAGGTAAGCACTTTTCAAACAGTTCAATGTTTTTCTTCTGTGATGTATTGTATCTCAGTCCCCAAAATGCTAACCCTTACAAACAAACAGCTCAACTTTTGCTTGGGACATGGCACCCAGGGAGTCCTGACAGAGGAAGGGCTGGAAACCTTCCCATCTGCACCCATCCAAGCAGTGGCTGGAATGCTCACCTAGGCTTGGCATTATGGTACCAACCTCTGTTGCTGGATTTTTTATAACCAAATGCTTACAGAATCACTCCTCCTGCCTACACCCAACTTTCTGACTGCTGCAAATGCTGAGGTTTCTCCACACCCTGCTCACAGCTCTGCTATCCCACTGTCCTGCAGGCTGGAGAGCACTGGGGGACGCAGATGCCCATCCAGGACCCCTCTGCAATCCCACACTTGGGCCACCTCTACCAAGCACACCTCTCTGAGCAAGCAGAGCTATTCCCAGCCAGAGCTGTGCAGAGAAAAGGAACATCTACTGTAACCAAGTGTTTAATGTCTCGTGGGAAGCCAGGGCCATGGGGCAGCCCATTTGTAGGGCTTTGAGGGTGAGCGAAGTCCTGCCCAGGCAGACCTGAGCCTCTGCTCCCTGCGGATGTCACCCAGCAGCACTGGATGGGCACCGAGGGGGAAAACGCAAGTTCTCTTGGGTCAGTGGATGCCATCTGCTGTGCTGCTCAAACAGCCCCCTCGGTGCAGCCCTCAGCACCGCACTAACAAGGTTTCTCACTGATGAGCAGTGATACCTCCCTCATAATAAAGGAAAAACTGCAACTCCCATCTTCCAAAGGGACCAGGCATAAACTCCACTCCGCTGTTACAGCCCATTTCCCAAGCCTGATGATGCATCAGTGCCGTCCTGTGACAAATTCCATTCTCCTAGTAAATATTTCACTACAAATGTCAGAAGTTTGTGGCTAAAAAGAATAAACTGGTATGACTTTGATTCCCAATCCTCTCTCTAGAACACACCTGAAGCTCAAACTCCCTTTAATTTCAATCAGATTAAGGCTCCCAGATAACTTTTGACCTAAACTCCATCATCCAGCTATTTTCAAAATGCCATCTTAAACCCAGGGCTTTAAATCTTCCCATCTGACTTACAGAAACCTCCCGGCGCTGTACCCTCGCATAGCTCACAGCTTACAGATACTGCAGAAGCCTCCGCAGCCTTGTGCATTATTTCCCTTTTGAGTTTTATATTCTCTTCCCTCTCCATAAATGAAGCTGAAGCTGCAAAAGCTGCGGTATGGATGCTGCCAGGTGGGGATTCATTCAGCTCAATGAATATATTCAACAGCTACAGCAATCCAGCAAGGGATTGGAGCAATGAACACACAGAAGCATTTCTGTCCCCTGGATGCCACGTGGGGCAGCCGCAGGGCTGCTGAGGGGAAGGCATGATGGCAGCGGGATGGGCTGCAGAGAGCCCTTTGGCTTTTCACATGGGTTGTGGTGTGACAGAATGAAAGGGTGTCCTGAAATCCAGCAGCCGAGGAGCCTCTGACAGGAGGGAGCCCAAATACACTTGTGAAACCAAAGGGCAGCAGTGCTGGAAACGCGGGAACGCTCCTCCTGCCCAGGTCACACCACCAGTCCCGCTGCCACTGCACGGAACTCAGTGGAAATGCTCTCTCTGAGCTGAAATGCTCCTTTTCAGCGTTCCTGCTGGAGCAGTGCTGTTTTCAGTGAGTGCAATGCCCTTCCTGCCCTTCCCAAAGGCTCACCTGCACCATGCGGGGCACCTACCAGCTCCAGTGGGGCCTCCTCCTTGTTGCCGTCTCCCCTGTGTGGGTCCAGGGGGTACAAGGGACACGATGGGGATGGCAGTGCTGCAGGTCAGAGTCCTCTCTGGTCACCACCAAGGAGCCTCCTGCTGCTCTGCTTGGGAGACCCAACCTAAGAGCTGCAAAAAACATCACCTGTCAGGGGCTGATGAAGTTTTACAACATGCCAAGCAATAAATCAGCAGTGGAAGGATGTGTCAGAAGCCCTCCCTGCTCACAGCCGTGGTGGTGAGGTACCACATTTCCCGCTTCACCACCTTTCATGGGATATGAATAGTGTGTGGAGAAGTGTAGACAGGCTCCCCATCCCTGTTCGCCTGGTCGTATGGTAACACATGGACCAGCTGGTTTGGGTTATTTTCTTCTCTACTTTACTTCACTTAACAACGAGTCAGGTTTTTCTCAGATGGCCTCGCTTGGATTCACACTCCCCTCTCCAAGGGGTTTGCAACAGTGAAAAGCCCCTGACTTCAGCAGATTTAACATTCCCTGTGTTGGATGGGAGGCTTGGAGCAACCTGCTCTAGTGGAAGGTGTCCCTGCCCGTGACAGGGGGTCGGAACTGGATGAGCTTTAAGGTCTTTTCCATCCCAAATCAGTCCCTATGAAAATACACTTCCCTTCCGAGGCTCAACGTGCCAAAGCCACTGCTGAGGAGAGGGATGTTCACAGCGCCCAAGCGATGGCCTCTGTGTCCGAGCAGCCCGGTGGAGGAAAACGCCTGGGTCCAGAGCCCGGGATTTACCGGCTCCCGGTGCTCTGAGGTCCGCTCGGGAGGACTCGGGGCTCCGGCAAACCCCGGCTCCCAGCGCCCGGGCGGGGCCGGAGCAGCCGGGCAGGTACCGAAACCGCTTCCCCACGGCCGCCGGTACCCGGGTCCTCTTGGCACTGGGACCGGCTCCGCGCACCGGAGCCCGAGCGGCAGCTGCTGCCCGGGGCGGTGCCCGCTCCCCCCGGGCGCTACCGAGGGCAGGGCAGGCTCCGGCTCGGGTTGGGGGGGCTGGGGTATGGAACGTGTATAAATGGATCCATTGATCCCTCAGCCCCTGCCCCTCCGCACCCGGCGGCACCTCCCAGACATCCCCCTCCCCGCTTTAAACTTCCAGGGCTTCACATCCAATTCGGGACCCCCCCTCCCCGAAGCCGCCTTCCAGCAGTGCTCCCCCCCCCCCCCCCCCGGGAGCAGCCCGGCCCCGACACGAGAAGCGGCACCCACCTCCCCCCCCGCCCCGCTCGGTCCCCGGCACCCACCGGCCCCTCGGGCGCTGCTCCGGCGGCGGGACGCGGCCGTCGGCCTTGGGGATGCTCCGCGCCGCGGAGGGAGGGGAGGGCATCACATGGCGCCGGCGGGGACAGCCCACCTCTCCCTCCCTCCATGCCCCTTTCCCTCCCTCTATCCCTCCTTCCCTTTCTCCGTCCTCCCCTTCTCCCCCTCCCTTTTCCTCCGTCCCCCCCCTCCTCCCTCCCTCTCGCTTCTCTTTATCCCTCCTTTCCCCATTCCTCCCTCTCCTTCCACCCTTTACCCTTTATTCCCCCACTTTCCCTCTATTTTGTGCTCCTTTCCTCTAGTCCCCCCCTTTCCCCAGCCCCTCGGCTCTAGCTGGTGGCTCCAGCTCACCACGGGGCAGGGGTAGGAGCCAGCACTGCCCCTCTGTGCATTCTCCCTTCCAAGCAACCCTCCCCCAGCCCCTCTGCACCCCCTAACCTGGAAAGCCATGGACCCCTCTGGGGTGGCAGCGCTGAGTGGGTGATGCACCCTGGGACACAACACATCTGGGAGCTGGGGAAAGGAAAACTGGCTCTGGCCACTGGGTTAAACACATCCACAGCTAAGGACAGAGCAGACAGCGGGGAGGGCTGAGGGCAGCAAGCCAGTGTGCTGGAGAAAGCCAGCTTGGCAGGGCTGGGACCAGGGCAGGGAGAAAGCCAGGGCTAAAGGAGAGGGACACAGGGGCAGATGCTGTGGGCTCTGGAAGCCACGTTCAGAACAAGTGATTCAGCCAAAACACACAGAGCATTAGCAGCAGAGCCAAGAATAAGCAGACAGCTCCATCAGTGCGTCCAGCAATGGGACACTTCAGTGGATACAGCAGGAAGGACGAGGAAAGGGTCACACACCATGCGGGTGACTCCTGCTACGTGAGCTGCCAGTGCCAGCAGCAGGGCCAAGGGCAGCTCACAGCACCATTGCAGTGCCAGCAGCTCAGATTTGTGCAGTGATTTCTGCAGTGAGAGCTTATTCTGTGCAAGGGCTTTGCATGTGCCAGGGTGGCTCCTGCCGTGGGGAGCTGGACAGCAGCAGCAGTGGGGCAGCTCCAAGGGAAGGCACCTCTGATATCTCCCAGCAGGAAAGCAACAAAAGCAATCTGTTAATTACAAGTCTGAGAAATTCAGTTTCTAATAAGCACTTGGGGAACCAATTCCCAGTGCTCTGGCTAAAACGTGCTGCATCTCTGCTGGAGGCATCCTCAGTTAGCAAAACATGACTATCCTAGATGGAATAATTCAAAGTAAAGTGAGATATGAGATGCAGAGGAGGTGTTGGTTGGATGGCTTGTTTGAAGTCAGTGCTCTGGCTTGTTGAGCTCTGCCTTGATTGATAGAGATAATGGAAAATGATGCAGATGTGCAAGATTTGATTTCTCCAACGAGAACACAGTGGAGCCCCCAGTGAGATGCAGGCTGGTGCAAACCTGCCTCCCAGTAGGGCCCCAGCTGGCAGCCAGGGCATAGTGGTTATTTGATTTGAGGGACTGCACCTCCACATATGTTCCTCTGCCCCAAATTACAGCAATACTTAAGTTACAGCAAATTCAGCATGTTTTCCTGGGCTCATCTCTCGGCCCCCTAAGGAAGAATTGGCTGGCCTTGCAAAGATGCATTTTTCAGCGTATCCTTCCTTGCAGCTGGAGCTCTCAAAACAATCCCCAAAGGTATTTGGTACCTCTCATTCACATTTGAGGAGGAACAGAAGGCAGCAAATCCATCGGGGAATGGACAGTAAGGAGAGAGCAGGGATTTGGTCACCAGAATGGATTCTGCACTGGAAAATGGAGGGCAAAGAGGTGATGCCCTCTGGTACCCCAGCCCCACACAGCCCCAGAGAGGGGGCAGCTTCCCTGGGATGGAGCTAATCAACAGGGAATTACCAATAAAGTCAAGCTGCAGGAGGCAGGCTAGACCTGGATGTTCATCATGTTCTGTCAGGGTACATTGTTTAATACAGTAATTGCCTGCTCTATATTGGTAAAAAAAACCCAACAGCAAAACAAAGCAGACCTTCACTTCCTCCAGCCAGGCAATCTGCTGTATTAGCTGCTTGGGCCCTGTGCAGGGTTATTTGAATACAGCATGAATAAAGGCTGCAGCTCATACAGCCAGTGACATAATTAACCATTACAGTGTGAGAGGCCCCCAGCAGCCATGCATATAATCAATTAGAAATACACATTTTGGGCTTCAGTCTTCCCCCCCCCCCCCCTTTGCTTCTGTGCAAATGTGCTTGGGCTAAAACACTCAGATGGATTTTCCATTGCTGTTTGTCTCACACAGCAACTTCTGCCACGGCAAAGCACATGCATGATGCCAGCATTAACACCAGGAGTCTCCCACCAGCATGGCAGGGCCGGGCTCCAGAAGGGTACCAGTGATGCCTCCCAAAACTGCAGGAACACAGCTGAGTTTTCCTACCTCATTAGCAGCAAATCCATAATTCCTTCCTCATAACACCTACCTCCTACTGACAGCAAAAGATGGGGAATGTGAAATGGAAACCCCTTCTCCTGGCCAGAAGCTTGGTGTGGCTGCTCCAGGCAGGACAATTAACACTTAGCATCTTCTCAGCATCCTCCAAAACTTGGGGAACAGCTTTTGGATTGATGTGACACCATCTTGTGTCACATCTCCAAAGCAGCATCGCTTCAACCACCCCACTTTTCACTGTTTCCTGCCTTGCTCTCTCCTCCCCAAGAGGGAGGGTCCCTCACCACAGCTACATGTGGGGCCAGTGAAGCTGGGTGGGACCTTGCACCTCACAGGGCGTTATACAGCTGTGTCAGCCGGGCTGAGCTTGATCCTTGTGCTGGTGGAGCTGCCTTGAACACCATGGCCAAAACTAGCATGGATGCATGAAGTTCTAAGGGTGCCTGATCAGGCAGCTTTATGATGCACCCAAGATCAAATCTTAGAGGTGAGGAGGGATCTGAGCTTCATTAATAGCCCAGACCAGATGCAATCCTTTACATCGGCTCTCCCTGGCTGTCTGCAGTGCTTCAGGGTGTTGAGAGCCCATCTCAGCCACAAGTGTTTAATTCCTGCAGGTGGCATCTGCAGGGAGCCCTTTCGTTGGCCTTTTCCCTTCCAGCAGAAGGCTCTCAGGACATTACACAACAGAAGGCCTGGTCCTGTCATCCTGGGCTAGAAGCTGATAGAACTCCTCAGGTTTGCCTCCCATCCCACTCCCTCCAATTTTATTCAGACACCAAATCTGCCCAGCAAACTCACTGGGATGAGGTAGGTGCCCACAGGCAGCCACCCCTCAGGCCCACGTGTGGCTCTGGTCTGGCATCAGACAACAGCTATCAACCAACTTTAACTGCACTCCAGGCTGTAAAGGAGCATTTTGGACACAGGAAGGGAAAATCTGCGCCAGGCAGAGATTGCACTGTTTGGCCAGGGAAAGAGGGGAGCAGGTAGATGCAGTGATCTGGCGATGTGATGCTGAAGCTGCTGTGGCTTGTGTGGGAGGTGATGGCTGCTCCATGCCAGCTGCCTTGGTGCTTGCTATTTTTGTCATTTCGTGGGCAGCACGGCTGGAGGGAGGCTTGGGCAGACACTGGAGCACTGCAGAGATGCACAGCAGCCTTGGCACGATGCTTGGGGGAACCCGCTGCCACCCCGCTGCCGTCCCCATGCAGCTCCCCAAGGTTGGGAACCACTTGTTGGAGACTTCTGAGATGTTCTCTTTCCATGAGAGGGTTTTTGTAGGACAGAGATCACACTGACAGCAAAACTGCCACCAGCAGCCTGGGTCTGGGATCCACAGCAGCAGCACCCATGGCTGCTGTGCAGCTGGGATGCAGCGTGAGGATGGGCAGCTCTAACCAGGTCTGGTTACATGGCAGCAGTCAGCACACCCTCAGCCAATGCCTGCTTCTTATCTCAGCAGCAACATCATCATTTTCTTAGCTTTCAAACAATGAATGTAGGAAAAGAGGGAAAACTCCTGGCACCAAAGAACACCAGGGACTGGTTTTCATATCCCGCTGGCACCGTGACTAAATGAAAGGGATTAACCCCTGTGGGCTGCTGGAGCTGAAGCTCCGTTTGCGGTTTCTCCTGCACATCCCTGCTCCTGGAGCTGCTGCTTGGGAGGAAGCACAGGGAGAGATGTAACTTTATTTTTATCTCGGCACCCACACGCTGTGTGGAAGCCTGAAGAGCAGCGCAGAGCCTTTCGCAGCCAGCATCCCCGAGAGGCTCTGCCTCAGGGGTAACAACAGCGCACGTGTGAGCCGAGCTACGTACCTGGTTCAAGAAGTAATACCTTCTGTAATCATATGGGTCTAAATGGAGCTCATCAAAGCTCAGGATGTGCCAGTTGAGGAGTTTCACCTTGACAGCTTGGCCGGTAGCATCCTTGGCCTGGGTGAGCAGGCAGCATTGAAAGGGCATGAAGTGCCCACATCCCATCACTTCATCCTACAAGGGGGCAGTGCCCTTCAACGAGACAAGCTAGAAGAGATGTGGCAGTAAGTCTGCTCTCACTGCTGGTGTTTTGTTAACCCTCTGTTGAAGGAGTGGATGTTCCAGTAATACAACCCCTTTTGTGAGTAGTCTCTGGGACTGGGACCCACCTGGGTTCCCCATCAGCTGGAAAACAGGCTGCTTTACAGGATGAGGGATGGCTCTGGCCACAGCAATCAGACTGAAATGGTCATCTCTGGGAAGCAGTTTAGATGGCATTAATTATTAAAGCCTCATAACACTTGTATTAAGAGTAATAGTTTTCCATGTGATTTATAGAGCGCTGAAATTCATTACCAATCTCTTAATAATGTTATGGTCAATCGGGCACAAGACTTATCCCAAAAGGACCAGGAACTGATCCAGACAGTTTTGGGATGCTCTCATCCCTGGCTTGTGCTCTTCTCCTCCTTCTGGCACTTGCGCTCATTGCTGGTTCCTTGTATAACCATTTTTGATGGATTTGTCCCAAAATCACACCTAAGCAGTGTCTGAGACATGGTTACACTTGTAGGAGAAGTAAAAGAATCCTGTTAAAAGAAGAGTGTTTCTGGAGGTGTCACTGAAAGTGTTGAAGCTTTAATGAAGTTTTATATGCATGGTTGTGGAGTTGTTTTATGAGGATTAGGAAGTCTCCCTGC